AGCAAATGTATTTGTGGTACAGTCTAGTCGGGGCTCTTTGCCTAACCCCCCGGGGGTGGAGGGCAGGGAGTTGGGGTGATGGGAGGCAGTCAGCCAGGTCTTCAGGGAGAGCAGAGGGAGAAACGTGTGATTTGAGAATGGCTCATTGCGCAAGTCTCTCAGCTAACCCAGTGCTTCTGATTTCTCCCCTGCAGTTGGAGGCCCCCCTCCCCACTAAGTGCCTCTTTGCATAGCACCGGCCCCCGCCCCCACGCTCACTGGTACCACTGCAGCGGGGACGGGCCATGGCGGGTCGGGGAGGTGCAGCGCGACCCAACGGACCAGCTGCTGGGAACAAGATCTGTCAATTTAAGCTGGTCCTGCTGGGGGAGTCCGCGGTGGGCAAATCCAGCCTCGTCCTCCGCTTTGTCAAAGGACAATTCCACGAGTACCAGGAGAGCACAATTGGAGGTGAGTGGTATGGGGGGGTGGGGGTGGCCTCGGAGGCCAAAGAAATGCATTGAGAAGGGAGCTACCTGCCCAGAGAAACTAAACATACCTGGGGTGGCAGCACCTCTCCTCATCGGGGCTGTGGAATCAAATCCAACAGCTGGTCTCCATGCCAGAGTCCCAAGAATTAGCTAGGAGTCAAAGTGGCTTCCTCCCCTGGTTCTGGCACTTTATTATTTGTGTCACCTTGGCAAAAACCCTTCCACTGACCCAGCCTCTGGGTCTAGATCTCTGTGGGTCCTTCTTACTGTGCCAGGCAATGCATCTGCCCTGACCTCTTCCACTTTCCAAAATGGGGAAATGGCCTGGTGAGTGGGTTGGTATTTCTGAAGCTGAACTTTGCCTTTTCTTGGGCTCGGAGCCTGTCATTGGTTTCCCAGTGGTCAGCGTTTAGGATGTAAGGGTCTAAACTCAGCCTCTTGCCTCAGTAGCCAGTACAAACCTTGAGGGGCCAGGGCTGACCTTGGGTTGGAGTCATCCTTTTCTCTACCCTCTTGCTTGGCAGGAGGTTTCCAGGCAGCTGAAAACAAAATGGGCCGTGTCAGCAGTCTTCTGCTGCCTCCTCAGCACTCGAGTCAGGAGCTGGAGAGGGGGAAGTGAGGCGGTACCCCATCCCCTCGGGGAGGTGGGGGGAAAGGCAGACAGGAGAGCGGACTTTTCAAAAACAGAGCTCTCTGGGATCCTTTGCTGGGTCCTGGGGCAAAGGGGACTCCCACCTGCCTGTCCCAGCTCTTGGACTCCTCCTTTGAAGTGTATGCACAAGTGCCACATGTTCCCCTGCCTCCTCAGGCCAAAAATAGGGTCACTGTGTTCCCTGAAGGTCAAGCCACAGAGTGGCCAATCAGCAATGGGTTGAGGTCAAAGCTGGGGGTGGCGGCTAGCCCGCATCCCTGGAGGTGGCAGGGGCGGTTGTGAAGCCAGCCACCCAGCCTCCGCCTGGCAGTAGAGAACAGCCTGTACTTTCAGGCGTCTCCAGCATAGCTAAGTGTAGGAGAGTGTCCTCAGGAAACAGAAGGCCAGCGACACCCCTGGGCCGGAGCACACTGAGGAACTAGGGAGGTTTCCAATTGGACTGCTCTCTGAGGGAAGGGAGGAGGAGGAAGAGGGTGGGCCCATCCATCTGAGCTAAGAATCAGGTTTCCCCTGGGCTCTCTGTCTCCTGCCCCTTGCCGCATTCCTCTTCAGAGTGCTCCTGAAATGGCTCAGGTGTAAGCAGGCTTCCCTTCTCCTCCTGCCCTTGCTGAGCGTGTGTCTGTCAAGTCTGTGCATTCCACAGCCCCCTCGACACGTAGGCAGAAATACAGATTCCACCAGCCCTGCTCAGGCCTGCTTTAACCGCCGTGTCGGGGGGCTTTCTGTGCCCATCTCAACAGAAGGTTTCTGAGTGCCAGAGCCCAGCTGCCACAGCGCAGCTAAACGGGTCTGGCGTCACGAGCTCCTTCTTGCCTGGTAACGCCACCTTCCCTCTTACAGCGGCCTTCCTCACACAGACTGTCTGCTTGGACGACACAACAGTCAAGTTTGAGATCTGGGACACAGCTGGACAGGAGCGGTATCACAGCCTGGCCCCCATGTACTATCGGGGGGCCCAGGCTGCCATCGTGGTCTATGACATCACCAACACAGTAAAGATTTTCCCTTCCTTCTTGACCTTTGCTCCCGGATGGGATGTGGGCAGATTTCCTCTGTTGTTTGGGGGTGTCTCACCAGAATCTTCAGGGTGGTGACATCTTAGACACCTTGGCTCTGCCAGCTCGAGCTTTTCTAGGGAGTGGCCGGGGGCAGCATGCCTCCTCTGTCCCTTTGACATTCGGCCCTGTCTCCCCAGGATACGTTTGCACGGGCCAAGAACTGGGTGAAGGAGTTACAGAGGCAGGCCAGCCCTAACATTGTCATCGCGCTCGCGGGTAACAAGGCGGACCTGGCCAGCAAGAGAGCCGTGGAATTCCAGGTGGGGGCGATGGACAGGATTTGGGGGAGGAGGGAGCCAGCTCTACTCGGCTTCCCCCAGGTTCCTCAGGGGTTTCAGGAAGGGCCACTTGGGGAGGCAGCAGTGGCACTTTTATCTGCCATCCTCTCATGACTCGAGCAAGGGCCAAAAGGAATTGTCTTCGGCCTTTTCTTGGTGGGTAGGTTGTGTGTGTATATGGAGAGCTGAAGCTTCTGCTGATTTTTTCTGTAAAGTGACTTATTAATGAAACTTATTGAAAGACACTTTTTCATGTAATACAAGCATATAGTAAAATGTAAACAGTACAAGAAGGTATATAGAATGAAATTTAAGTCTCTAACCCTAGAAACTCAATCTCCCTTCCCCCCAGTTCCTCAGTTTCTCATCTTTCCAGAAATAGGCACATGTATATGAATCCTTTTCTTCACATAGGTGGGAGTATGTTCTACATACGTGCGTGTGTGTGTGTGTGTGTTTTTACCAGTCCCTAACTGATGAACTTCTCCGTTGCTTGTAATAGCAAAAGACTGGAAACAATGCAGCAGTCAACATGCACATACATACTTCTGTGCTTTTGTTCAAATGTGCAACTATATTTGTAGGATAACTTTCTAGAAGTATTTCCTAGTCTAGCGATTTTGAAGAGCAAGAAGACAGAATGGACATAGGGGAACGCTGAGTAAAGCATCTGCCAATGTATGTGAGCTGAGAGGTGCTGTACCTAAGTAGGGGGTATGGGACAGATGTCTCGGGGGAACCCAGAGCAGGAGAGCTAGAGGCCTGGAAAACCTCTGCACAGTGTCTCTCTTGTGTATAAAGTGCTGTGATCAGGGAAGAATTTTCTATCCTGGGCCCCAGCCCCTGCCAACTGTCAACACTTCCCTCCCACCCACTTTCTCACCTCTGTCCAAATCAGGAAGCACAAGCCTATGCAGACGACAACAGTTTGCTGTTCATGGAGACATCAGCAAAGACCGCAATGAACGTGAATGAAATTTTCATGGCAATAGGTAAGCTGCCTTCTCCCCTCCCCTCCCCACATCAGGGCATAGCACTTGCCTGCTGTTCAGTAGTAGGTCCCTTCACCAACAGATCTTTCACCATTTTAATATTCTGATAAAATCATTTTCTTCTTCATCTGACTCCCAGATGTAGATAGTTCACCCCAGAAGTCTCAACATTTCATTTCCTGACCTTCTAGCTTGCCAGCCACCTAAAACTCTGTATCACCAGCCTACTCACATCTTAGGCCTTTTTTTTTTTTAGGCCATTTGGTTCTGGAGTCGTCCTGCCTGGGTTTGAGTCCTAGCTCTACCACTTATTAACTCTGGGCTTGGGCAAGTCATTTCACCTCTCTTTGCCTCAGTTTCCTGAAACACCCAGAATGCACCTGACACATGGAAGTGAAGCCCTCAGTATGTTCATTACTACTGATTGGGTGGTAAAGGCCAGATTCTACTCAAGTGGGCTTGGGAAACAGTATTGGGGTATCCCCACAAACATTTTCTCCCCCTCTCCCACACAGCTAAGAAGCTCCCCAAGAATGAACCCCAGAACGCAGCTGGTGCTCCCGGCAGGAACCGAGGTGTGGATCTCCAGGAGAACAACCCAGCCAGCCGGAGCCAGTGCTGCAGCAACTGAGCCCCCCTTGCCCGCCCACTGCCCCCACCTCCTCCGCCTGAATGACCCGACTGGAATCCACTCTAACCAATCGCACTTAACGCCTCGGGCCACCACTGCGGGGGCAGGGGGAGGGGTCCACCATGATTTCTCCATATAATTTTGATCATAGGCCGGAGTGAGTTATTCCACCTGCACCTTTCTGTACAAATACTAATTCAATTTTAAGTCTTAAGTCACTTTTTTAATATATATGATCTGCTCTTCCCACTTCCTGCCCTTTCTACTGCTCTCCCACGCCCCCTTTGCTGGTAGTAGCCGCAGGCCGCTGCCCCTCCCACCCTTGTATATGGGGAGGCAGGAGTTGGAGCAGTTACCCTCTTTTCCTCTTGCTGATTAGCAGACTCAGCAAGAGCATCTATATCCTTACCGTTCGGAGTGGGCTTGGTTCTGGGTGGTGGGGCAGGCCCTGGGGCTAGAGAAGAGAGAGGCAGCTCTTACCTTCAGCTGGCTGGCATCAGGCCGCAGCCCCCCATCCCACCCCACCCCCACCCCCTGATTCACAGCTGGGAGAGAAACCACAGCATTACCACAGCATTATTGTGACAGCCACGAACCCATTGCCCACAGCCCACCCCACCCCCCTCGTCCTTGGTCACCCTGACTGACCTCTGGCTCTGAGCCCTGTTCTGACCAAATCATGATGATGAGTATTTGGGGGTGGGTGGGTAAGGGGGGTAGTGGGAGGGGATGGAACCAACTTTTTCTGTATTTTGTATTGTATGTTTTCTTCAACATGTAACCAATCAATTATCTTGTCAATATAGTCAGCCGATCGATCGACCTCCGCTTGTCTTGTCTTTCTCTGGCAGAGTTTATCAGAACATACTTGTTAATTTACAGTGAATCACTGAATTTTGTTAAACAAAAGTCCCACACATCACACACCCTAAGTAAGGGGATGCTGGTCTCATGGTAACCAAGAGTGCTGATGGCATGGGGTTGGGGTAAGACTGACTTGGAACTGAATCTCACCAAGTTTGAAGTTGAGGTCCTACATTTGCCTCTCTCCTACCCCATCCCAATTATATTGGGGTGATTTGCAGTCTGGATTTGAAAATAGTTGGTCTCTGATGGAACACCAGAAAAACGCTTTTTGGTTAGTCTGTACCGGGCCTGTGAGGGACTGGGTCTTCTTACCCTCTTCCCTGAAGAGGAAGAAACACCTATGGCCGCTGGGACTTGAGACTGATGACAAGGCGGAGCAAGACGGCAGCCTCACAAGGTCTAAGCCCTCTGGTTCCTGCTCCCTAGGGTGCCCTCTGCTGGTTCTGGAACCAGGTGACTCTTGGGCCCTCCTGGCCCTCTGCTGCTCCCTACTGGCGTTGCTGCTCTCAGCTGCCAAGGGCTGAGGATACTGGTCCAAGCACTGACCTGAGCTGAGTGGGAAAACACTCCTCCCACCCCACCCCCAGCTTCTGCCAGGGCCCAAAGGCCTAATTCTTGGACCACCACTTTGAGGTGCCTTTCTTGCCTCCCTCTACCTTGGTTATACTTCCACCTCTGACCCCAACCCTGATAAAAGACCATGGACTCCAAGGCTGCTGCTCACGAGGGTGGTGGTTTACTGGGTCAGGCTAGGTTGGAACCCTTCTTAGAGCCACGGCTCCTGAGTCTCGAGATGGACTTGGAGCTTCAGGGGCAGGCAGCGCCGGGCACTGGCCTCGGACACACAGCTGGCCTGACGGGGTCAGACAGCAGGTCATGGCTGTGGGATCCAGGTACGATGGTAGTTGCATTTGCTGGTGCATCTTCTCTGCTATGCGGTAGCAGCCCCCATCTGGATTGTAGCCCTCCGTTTGCCGCTGGCCCGTCACCATCAGGCACTGCCCGTCCACTCGCACTGCCAGCTCCTCTGGGGTGAAACCGTGGGCATCCATCTTCATCTGGAAACCATTCTCCACCTGGACATCGTCCCACGCAGCTGCCACATCTTCCCTGAGCAGCTGCACCGGCAGTATGGCCACTCGGTTCTGTTGCGCGAGGGCTGCGCTGGGGGACCTGGACGCCACCCGCCTCCCGTTGGGGAGACCACTACCAACCCGCCGCATCTGAGTGAGCAACTGCTGTTCAAGAGCGCGAGGCTCCGAGTGTAGCGCTCTACCCAGGACACGGGAAAGGGACCTCCCGCGCTACTCACGGCTCCAAGCTGGCTTGGCTCCATTCCCACTCTCCGCGGCTCTGCTCTGTTCAGCGGGGCTCCCTTCACTTCGGCAGAGTTTGGGGCAGCTATGCATGTCCTACCTGGGTCAGGTTGTCAGCCGTCCTGGAGCACCCCCTGCTGTTTTTATCCTGGATCCTGCCTTTTCTTGGGACCCTCCCCACCTTGGGCAGAGCCCAACTGGATATGCTAAAGGAGGCTGGGCTGCGTGGCCCCCACCCTGGACAAGTGCAGAGTGGGATAACATTGAGGTGGCAGGGCTTTTGTCCTTCCAAGAATCAGGCCTAGGGGCAAGAAGATTGTCCCCTGGACAGAGCCACTGCAGTGTGACCACTGGATCACCCATTCTCGGAATGCCCTGCCTTTCTCTGACCAGGCACAAACCTGTGACACATTGGGGACTGGGAGGTGGACACAGTCTTCCTATCCTTCATTCATCCATCCTAGGCTTACTGTGCGGCAGGCTTGGCTGGGTTCCGGGATCACAAAGATGAAGATGCCGGTCCAACCCTCAAGGTGCGCATGGTATTGGCGAGGAGACGTTTTCCTGCCCTTCTCTGCCTCTACCTCAAACCCTCCTTGGTAGCCCTCGTGACCACAGCCATACCTCTGGTGCTCGGTGCTTTTATACTAGACCCTTTTTGTAGAAGTATAATATGCATACAGAAAAGTGCACAGAAGGGCACAGCTGAGTTATTCCACAGAGGAACACACCTGTGTAACCACTTCATTGGTCAAGAAATAGAACTGTTGATGCTTAATCTCCTCCGTAGCTGCAACTCTGACTCTGGAGACACGTGGGGCAGGGACAGGGTGGAGGTGGGAGGGAGATGTGCCAGAAAGCCAACTCGACCCCGGGCGCTAGGCCTGTACTTCCACCCTTGGGGCTGGGGAGGGGAGTCCCCCAACCTGAAGCTTGTTTTCTGGGATGCTTCTCCTTATCCCCAAGAGGACAGCAATCTTGACTATCCTGGAAGCCTTCAAGAGAGATTGGAAATGAAGAGGGGTCAATCTGGGATGCTGGCTCGGGCTTCTCTTGGCTCTCTGGGACCAAGAGCCAGGATAGAAAAGTCTGGAAGCTGGAAGCAAAGGGAGCAGCGGTGGGAGACTACAACTCCCATCATGCTCCGGAGCAGGGACGCCTGCGCACTGAGCGCCGGTTGCCCATGCGGCCCTAGGGCTGGGAGCGCTGCGCCGCGCTCCGCTGCGGGGGAGGCCATGGCGGAACCTTCCCAGGCCTCCACCCCGGCCCCGGCCGCGCAGCCCCGTCCCCTTCAGTCCCCAGCCCCTGCCCCAACTCCGACTCCTACCCCCAGCCCGGCTTCGGCGCCGACTCCGGCTCCCACTCCGGCACTAGCCCCCGCCCCAGCTGCAGTCCCAGCCGGGAGCACCGGGACGGGGGGGCCCGGGGTAGGAAGTGGGGCGACCGGGAGCGGGGGGGATCCAGCTCGACCTGGCCTGAGCCAGCAGCAGCGCGCCAGCCAGAGGAAGGCGCAAGTCCGGGGGCTGCCGCGTGCCAAGAAGCTTGAGAAACTAGGGGTCTTCTCGGCTTGCAAGGTGGGGGCGGGGCCTGGGGTGAGAAGGGGCGGGGCTTGGGATATCCTAGGGCTCGGGTGGCAATGGGAGCACAGCTCTGGCTGGGGAGCGGCTCCACGTCCCTGGGGTACAGGGTTATTGACTGATCCTTCTACCTTCAGGCCAATGAAACCTGCAAGTGTAATGGCTGGAAAAACCCCAACCCCCCCACTGCACCCCGCATGGACCTGCAGCAGCCAGCTGCCAACCTGAGTGAGCTGTGTCGCAGCTGTGAGCACCCCTTGGGTAAGGCAGGTAGTGCCCTTGGAGCAGGTGGTGGGAGAGAGGCAGGTGCTGGGTCCTGTTTGGACAGGATGACTTCAATGCCGCAGAGCTTCATCTCTTAAAAACCAAAGATACCTTCTAAGGAGGAGTTGGGTTTGGAACGTATCTCCCCAGGGAGGATACAGGAAATCTGCCAATTCAGAATAGACAAGGGGTCACCCAAGGGCTGACACAGGAGCAGTCAGTCTTGTTGCTGGTCATAGTGGTTGGAGGAACTGGGCGTGTATTTTAGCTGGTGATGAAGAGGGGCAGAAAGCCCTGTTGATCTCTTCTGTCTGTTCTTCCCAATTCTACCCCCTGTTCTTGTAGCTGACCACGTGTCTCACCTGGAGAATGTGTCAGAGGATGAGATTAACCGGCTGCTGGGGATGGTGGTGGACGTGGAGAATCTGTTCATGTCTGTTCACAAGGAGGAGGATACAGACACTAAGCAGGTCTATTTCTACCTCTTTAAGGTGAGTGTCCCGCGAATGAGAGTGAGTGAGGAAAGGAGTTGAGGCTGGGGAGTCTGCAGCTCAGCTCTGCTGACCTCTACCCTCCTCCTCCAGCTCCTGCGGAAATGCATCCTGCAGATGACCCGGCCCGTGGTGGAGGGGTCTCTGGGCAGCCCCCCATTTGAGAAGCCTAATATTGAGCAGGTGGGATGAAGAAGGGGGCAAGAGAATTAGGGGCATCTTGGAGGAGTGGGGAGCCTGTGTTCATCCTCCTCAAGCTGAGAACAGGGGAGAGGTTCCAAGAGGGGAGGGTGTTTTGTGCCAACCTGAGGGTGTGCGTGGGAGGGGGCACAGTTTCCCTTCACATAGAGCCTCAGCATAAAAGGAGAGCCTTGCCCCTGCCCTCAGGAAGCCTCTATTTTTGGATAAGAAGCTCCTGCTGGCTGCTCATACCTCCTTCCTGGTTTTGTCCCCCGCCCACCCCTTCTCAGGGTGTGCTAAACTTTGTGCAGTACAAGTTCAGTCACCTGGCTCCTCGGGAGCGGCAGACAATGTTCGAGCTCTCAAAGATGTTCCTGCTCTGCCTTAACTACTGGAAGCTTGAAACGCCTGCCCAATTTCGGCAGAGGTCTCAGGCTGAGGATGTAGCTACTTATAAGGTCAATTACACCAGGTAGGCCCAGCCAGAGACAGCATGGGGGGAAGCTTGTAGGCCCAGCCTGGGCTCAGTGGTTTCCACTCTCACTTACCACCTCTGCACTCCCCGCAGATGGCTCTGTTATTGCCATGTGCCCCAGAGCTGCGATAGCCTCCCGCGCTACGAGACCACTCACGTCTTTGGGCGAAGCCTTCTCCGCTCCATCTTCACTGTTACCCGGCGGCAGCTGCTAGAGAAGTTCCGGGTAGAGAAGGACAAGCTGGTGCCCGAGAAGAGGACCCTCATCCTCACCCACTTCCCCAAGTAAGGCTTTTTCTGGCCTATTGTGATTTTGCCCCAAATTCACATCCTCCCTGTTGTCCCCTTTTTTTCCAGGAAGGCTTCCTGGATTGGTCCCTCCTCTCCCTCCATGAGTCTTCTGGGATCTGGGCATCTACCTGGCAGACTTGCCCATGGCCCAGACGCAACTTGCTAGCATTTGCCATTGTGTGTACTAGGCTGGGGATGGCCAGTGCATGGCCTGAGTGCTAACACTACCCCCTCCACACCCCTGGTAGACATTACTAATTGTTTCCGTGGGGCCTGGACACAGCCTTAGAGTCCTTTCTATCGCAGCACTTCAAAAGACCAGAGTTTACACTTGAGGTGAAACCAATTTCCACTCCTAGTTTTTTCTGTAAGATTTTTCTCTGTTCTGCCTCACCTTCCTCTCATTTTAGACCTGCTCATAGCTGTCCAGTTCAAGAAGCTTTTACTAATTAATCCAGGCCTTCCAGTGCCCCTTCTGCCACCAGGTGGGAATAAGGTGGCAGGTAGGGGTGGATTCTCGGCCCCATTTTGATACGGAGGCCCAGCGTGACTTAGTGCCCTGTCTGGCCTCACAGTACAGCATGGTATCAGGTCAGCCCCCTGTCTCCCTATTGTGTACACTATGGAAAACTGGGCTTCTGGTCTCTGTCTTGGATTTCGTACTTCCCTTCTGCCTTCGACTAGGGTCTCCCAGAAGAAGGACTGTGCCTCCCCATAGTCTGAAGGCAGAGGTTGTCTCTGTTCTTAGTCTCCCAGTTCCCTGAGAACAGCGTCTGTCTCTCTGATCCACCTTCAGTCCCCCTGGTGTCTGGCCCAGGCAGCTCCCTTGGTTGGACAGAGCGTGGGACAGACTGTACCCTCCCCCACAGATTCCTGTCCATGCTGGAGGAGGAGATCTACGGGGCAAACTCTCCGATCTGGGAGTCAGGCTTCACCATGCCGCCCTCAGAGGGGACCCAGCTGGTGCCCCGGCCGGGTATGTGCCACAGCAGGTTTTGCAGGATCTCTGCTTGCGTTTCCTGGCGGAGCTCAGCCCCACGCTGTGGAAGAGGGGCTGTGAATGGCAGCAGTGGGGAAATGCAGGAGAGCTCACCTGGGAGTTGGAGGGTCCAGATCCCTTTTCGGGATCCACCAACACCTTTGCCCCGCCCCCCAATTCTTCTGTCTCTCTCTCAGCTACAGTCAGCGCAGCAGTTGTTCCCAGTGCCCCCATCTTCAGCCCCACCATGGGTGGAGGTAGCAACAGCTCCTTGAGTCTGGATTCCGGAGGTGCTGAGCCCATGCCAGGTGGGTACTTGACCCCTGGCCCCCATTCACCCCTCCCCAACCTCCTTTGCTGTCCTTGGGAGACCTTGCCAATCTCCTCAGCAGGTGAGAAGAGGAAACTCCCAGAGAACCTGACCCTAGAGGATGCCAAGAGGCTCCGTGTAATAGGCGACATCCCCATGGAGCTGGTCAACGAGGTCATGCTCACCATCACCGACCCTGCTGCCATGCTGGGGCCCGAGGTAGGCAGCCCAGCTAGCTGGCCAGTCGGGGGAGAGGGCCTCATGTGCCTGAGACCTCAGCTCACTGCCCCTCTTCTGGTGCCCAGACAAGCCTACTGTCAGCCAACGCAGCCCGGGACGAGACAGCCCGCCTGGAGGAACGTCGCGGCATCATTGAGTTCCACGTCATCGGCAACTCGCTGACGCCCAAGGCCAACCGGCGGGTGTTGCTCTGGCTCGTGGGGCTGCAGAATGTCTTCTCCCACCAGCTGCCACGCATGCCCAAGGAGTATATCGCCCGCCTCGTCTTTGACCCGTGCGTCCTCATAAGAGCCCTAACCCCACAGCACCACACCCGGGCGCCCGTCTTTCTTGGCCTCTCCACCCCTCTTCAGGCCTCTTCTTCCAACTTTGGGAATTCTTGCTCCTCAGTTCCCAGCCCCAAGTACAGCTCAGGCCCCCAGGGCTATGGGGACCTTGGGAACATTTGGGGGACAGATAGGGACGATGACCTGTTCCCTCTCCCCTCAGGAAGCACAAGACTCTGGCCTTGATCAAGGATGGGCGGGTCATTGGTGGGATCTGCTTCCGCATGTTTCCTACCCAGGGCTTCACAGAGATTGTCTTCTGTGCTGTCACCTCAAATGAACAGGTCAAGGTGAGTGCGTGCCCCCTGCCCCAGCCTCTTCTCCATCCCACCACCTGCTTCTGAGTTTGGACCAGGTCAGAGCAGAGGATAATGGTGATGCAGCAGCCCCAGACCCTACTTTTCGTGGCCAGACAGTTCCTCACTCCCCCACAAGGTGGCACTTACACTCTGATAACTGTGGATTAAAGGAACGCCTGTTGACAGACAAATGGATCCCAAGAACTAGTAACGCTTTTAAATGGACCTGAATTTCTTTTATCACAGCACTTACATTCATTGGGGAGTAAATAATTTTTACAGTAGCCCTACGCTGGGTGGTAGTCCTGGCTTTGGCACAACAGACCCACTCATAGGGTCCCTGGTTCTCCTTTTTTACATAACCCAAATCTGCACGGTGCCTCCTTGGTCCTGACGTGTGTGGGAGATGGTGTTCAAATGCTGTGACCAGTAGGGCCCTTGGTGGTCCCCTCCCCGCCCGTCCACCCCCGCCATTTCTGAGGCCCAGGGACCAGGAACCGGTAGCCTGTGGACAGCCACTTCCTGGTTGGGCTTGGATCCTGGCCCTTTCACAGCTGGCTGCCTGACTTTAGATATATTTCCTCATGTAGCTGAGCTTCAGTTTTTTTTCTGTAAAATGGCAGTAATACCTACCTCATGACATAACAGGAGAATTGGTCTGTCAGGTGCCATGCACCATTCCTGGCCCAGAGCAAGCACTTAGAAATGTAGTATCCCTCACTTTTCTCCCCATAAGCTCCCGTCTCTGCTGGTCGCCATTCTTCCTACTTGCCTTGGATCTCCTGGGTATCCCCACCTTTCCAAACTTCCCCCTCCTGTCTGGGCTCAGGGCCCTCCTGAGACCTGCCCCCTACCCCCTGGTAAGCCCTGTTTCCTCCCCTGCAGGGCTATGGGACTCACCTGATGAACCACCTGAAGGAATATCACATCAAACACAACATCCTCTACTTCCTCACCTATGCTGACGAGTATGCCATTGGCTACTTCAAGAAGCAGGTGACCCTTGCCTAACCCCACCCCACACTTGCCTGCCACCAGGGGCAAGGGTCATTCTGTCTAGCCCCCTGGTGTGGATGGACTGGGAGTCCCTCCCTTTGTGTCCCCTGTTCCATCCAGTACCTGCGGGCACATCCTGCCTGCCTGTCTTCCTCCTGCTGCTATCCCAGCGAGCAGGGTCCTGTAGGGCAGTGAGGCGGGCGGCAGAATTGGGAGGCTCTTGAGGGTGAGTTGAGAGGGGCACCTGACCTGGCATCTTTCCAGGGACAGATGGAGCCTTCAAAGTGCAGAAAGCTGTACTGGGGACCTCTGGAGAGGGTTCAGGAACTGGGGAGCTTGGGGGAGGGGCCGTTAAAGGTGGAAAAGTCTTGCTGATGGGTTGGGTCATGACTCCCACTCCCTAGGGCTTCTCCAAGGACATCAAGGTGCCCAAGAGCCGCTACCTGGGCTACATCAAGGACTACGAGGGGGCGACCCTGATGGAGTGTGAGCTGAATCCCCGCATCCCCTACACGGAGCTCTCCCACATCATCAAGAAACAGAAGGAGGTTGTGTGTGTGCGCGTGCACTCAGCCATGGGGCTTTTCGTGGAGTGAATGTGGGGATGAGCACACGTGTGAACGTGTACCACATGTCCATGCACGTGTGAGGGGGGGTCAGGGTCTTGGTTCCCTCTCTGCCTCCAGGGAAGTTAGGAGGGGAGGCACCTGGACTCAGTGGTATGGGCTCTGACGGTGGCCCTGGGAGGGGAGTTGCTGGGACTGGGGTTGGGCCCTCAGACCCTTCCTTCCTCAGATCATCAAGAAGCTGATTGAGCGCAAACAGGCCCAGATCCGAAAGGTCTACCCCGGACTCAGCTGCTTCAAGGAGGGTGTGAGGCAGATACCTGTGGAGAGTGTCCCTGGCATTCGTGAGCAGGGGCCTTGGTGGGGGAGGGCACATGCTGTGTGGGGCGTAGACAGGCATGCTTAAGGACGTTCTCCCCACTCCCCACTTTGCAGGAGAGACAGGCTGGAAACCGCTGGGGAAGGAGAAAGGGTGAGCACTGTATGGAGGGAGCGGGTGTTGGGGGAGGCAGAGGGACCAGGAGCCTCAGACTCGGCATCTGTTGCCCCAGGAAGGAGCTGAAGGACCCTGACCAGCTCTACACAACCCTCAAAAACCTGCTGGCCCAGATCAAGGTGCGGAGACCAGGCTCCCTTCTGGGGGTTCCTGTACTAATGGTTATGGCGTTATGGCCCTGTCGGGTGGGCGGCAGTCACAAGCTGGGTGTGGGGCACGGTGGGCTTGGCCCCAGCTCAGCTCTCCTCTCCAGTCACACCCCAGTGCCTGGCCCTTCATGGAGCCCGTGAAGAAGTCGGAGGCCCCTGACTACTATGAGGTCATTCGCTTCCCCATCGGTGAGGATGCTGCATCCCAACCCCTTCCTTCCACTTCCGCCCCCAAATCTATTCCTGCTCCTGCCTTCAGTGGGCCACACAGCCCCTTTGACCCACTCTCCTCAGCCTCCTAAAGTCGTGCCCTTCTGTCCTGCTGCCCCAGACCTGAAGACCATGACGGAACGCCTGCGCAGCCGTTACTATGTGACCCGGAAGCTCTTTGTGGCTGACCTACAGCGGGTCATTGCCAACTGCCGCGAGTACAACCCCCCAGACAGCGAGTACTGCCGCTGTGCCAGTGCCCTGGAGAAGTTCTTCTACTTCAAGCTTAAGGAGGGGGGACTCATTGACAAGTAGTCCCCGACCTTGGATTGCTGCCTCAACCTTGAATGTCTCCACCTTGGGTTCTGATCTGATCCCTATGGGGACTTCTGGTGCCCAGGTTCCTCTCAGCTTGAGACACTCTAACCAGTGGCCCTTCATCCCCTAATCCTGCAGCCCTTTCTGGGCCCTCGGGCACCCCCAAGCCTGCAGCTCTGTCTCACCCTTCATTGTGTCCGACCTTGGGAGGGGCCTCCTGGGTCTTGGGCTCAGCCCTTCTACAGTAGCTGGTGGCCAGAGGATAAACCCTGCCCAGCCCTGGTGGCTCCCGGCCCTGGTCTTCATAGAGCTGTGGAGTCGGCCTGGCCCAGGTCACTGTTTCCTCAAGGGCAGGACTACAAATTGTAGCTTGAGTGAGGGGGCTCCAGGGGTTGGAAGTTCAACCTGGACTGTAGGGGCCATGCCTCACCCTGCACTGTTCTGTCTCCCAGGGGTTGGGGACATGGGGACCATTCGTATCCTGGCATTAATCCCTTGGAGGGATCAATAAAGCCTTTTTTTTTTTTTTTTTTGGTCTGTGTGATCGTTTCTTCAGTAGAATCCCAGGCCTCAGCAGGCTGACCCTGTTCCCACCAGGACCTCCCACAAGTGGGCACCTATTAAGCTCAGGTTATGCTGGGGACACCTCCCCAGCAAGCCTCATGCCTAGTCCCGTGCTCCTGGGGTGACAGGACTTGCCTGGCTGCAACCCCCACTTCTCCCCACTCCTGGCTATTTCTCATCCAGGTGCCAGGGTGGCAGGGATCCAAATCACCTGGCTGCCTTGATCTGGGTGACATGGTTACAGCTGACTCCAAAAGGAATGGGGGTGGGGTGGAGTGGTGGAGACTGCTCTTGGGGGCGGGGTGGCTGGCAGGACCCAGAAGTTATGAAAGGATGCTTTCCTGTCAGCTGCATTTCTGTTCCCACTCTGAGGCCCATGCAGTTTTTTCTGGGGGGCAAGGAAGGGAGATTCCTAAGGCTAAGCTTGATCTGGCTGGGTTGGCTCCTCCCCTCCGTTTCCGTTTCAGTTTCCATTTTCGATTTCAGCAGGGCTGGATCTCAGCAGAGCCCCGTCTCAGCAGAGCCAGATCTCAGCAGAGCCCAGTGGCAAGCATCTGGGCTAAGATAAGCAAGGCTGCCCTTGGCAGGTGGTGAAGGTGAGGCTGGGCAGGGGTCAGGTGTAGTCCGTGTCACTTGCACCTCCCCTCTTGGCCAGATCAGGTTCCTGGTAGGTTTTTCTGGTGCCCTGTTCAACCTCCCTCAAGCAGAGTGGAGTCTTGGGCAAATGGAGCTCTCTGCACCGGACTGGGCTAATTGGGAGTGGGTGGAGGGCAGCTTTGAGGGGGTCAGGCCTGGGGAGGGGCCAGGAGGGCCAGGGGTCTGAGTCCCCTGCCATTCCCAGAATGGAGCTGCGACCCTACCAGTGGGAGGTGATCATGCCTGCCCTGGAGGGCAAGAATATCATCATATGGCTGCCCACGGGCGCTGGGAAGACCCGGGCAGCTGCTTATGTGGCCAAGAGGCATCTCCAGACTGTGGACAGAGCCAAGGTGGTTGTATTGGTCAACAGGGTGAGTGGCCTGCCCTCCCCTCAGTGGGCTCTCAACTCCTGGGGTACCTCCAGAACTCCAGAGCTGCTGCGGCCGTCACTAAGCCCACCTTTTCTCCTATCCCAGTCCTTGCCTCCTCCCTATCCCCTTTCACCTGATCCACCTTCCTCTTCTCATAGCATCTCCACCCCCAGGTACACTTGGTGACCCAGCATTGTGAGGAGTTCAGCCGCATGCTGGATGGGTGCTGGACCATTGCAACCCTGAGTGGAGACATGGGGCCACGACCTGGCTTTGGCTACCTGGCCCGGAGGAATGACCTGCTCATCTGCACGGCTGAGCTGCTGCAGATGGCACTGACCAGCTCGGAGGAGGAGGAGCACGTGGAGCTCAATGGTGAGGGCTCTGTGCACCCTAGAGCCCCTCTTCTAGTAAAGATGTTAGGAGATTTTGTGGGAGTAAGGTGTTCCTCATTCACCAAATTCTAGCATACATCCTAGTAGAAAAAGACCTGGCTACAGTGCAGGATCTTGGGCAACATCCTTCTCCCAGCTGAGCTTCAGTGTACTAATCTGTAAAATGGAAGTAAGTCATCTCTGCCTGACTGTTCTCTGGGGCCTGGCTGCAAGTTGTAAAGGAAGGGAGGAATTCTCAGATGAGTTGTGGGGCGCACATGAAACAAAGCTTACGGGAGGAAGGCCTTTGCAAACATAGGTCACGACCTTCCCCATGTGCCCCCAGAGTTCTCCCTGATCGTGGTGGATGAGTGTCACCACACGCACAAAGACACTGTCTACAACGTCATCCTGAGCCGGTACCTACAGCATAAACTCCAGAGAACACGGCCCCTGCCCCAGGTGCTGGGTCTCACAGCCTCCCCGGGCACTGGCAGGGCCACCAAGCTTGATGGAGCCATTGACCACATCCTGCAGGTCAGCTTGGCCCCTGTAACCCTCCCCCCGACCTGACCTACCAGGGACCTTTCTGGCCTGCCCTACCCTATGCCCACCAGCCCTACCCAGGCTCCCCCAGGCAGGGTCCGGATACCTTTCCTCACCTAAGTTCCAGCCTCCACAGACTTCTTATTGCCCTTAGAATAAACACTTAACTCCCTGGCTTACAAAGTTCCATGTGACCTCGCCCCTGCCTACCTCTCCCTCGTTTCCCCCACCCTCCTGCTCACTCCTGCTACTTGAGAGTTCTCAAGAACTCTCTGTATCTTGAGGATGTCAGGCTTGTTCCTGCGTCAGGACTTTTGCACTTGGCATTCCTTCTGCCCTAAATGCCCTTCCCCCTGCACTTTACCTGTCTGGCTCCTTCTTGTCATGTCAGGGAACAGCTTAAATATTATCCCTTCAAAGTCTTCCCTGATCACCCCCACTGTACTCTGTCATATTATCCAACTTTATTCTCTTCAGAGCTCATCAACACTGTCTGAAATGTTCTCATTTTGTTGTTGTTTACTATAATAGTTTATGCTCTGTCTCCCCAACTCCAATGTAAGATGCTCTGTATCCCTAGTACGTAGAACAGCACCGGGCACAGAGTGGGCAAGCTATATTTGTTGAATAAATAAATTTCCATTCACAATGCCCCTGCCTCAGCTGGGACCCATCCTGCCCCAAACCTCTACCCAGTGTCCCTACAGGAACCCCCCCCCATTCCAGTAAACGCCTCTCTGTTGCCCCAGCTCTGTGCCAACCTGGATACGTGGCGCATCATGTCGCCCCAGACCTACCGCCCCCAGCTGCAGGAGCACAACCGCCAGCCCTGCAAACAGTATGACCTCTGCCACAGGCGCAGCCAGGTATGTGGAGGGAGGAGCATGGGGCTGGGGTGTGGCCTGGAATGAAATTAAGGCAGCTGGGGTTGAGCCCGACTCCGTCCTCACTAGCTCTGTGACTTCAGGTTGCTTGCTTATGCATCTGAGCCTCCACTTCTTCATTCTGTGAAATGGAGCAGATACAGCCCATGCCCACAGCCTGCTGTTTGGTTTCACTCAGATGCCACTGTGGGCATCTGTCTAAACCTTGGGCATGCGGTAGAGTGCTTTGCAAACCATAAAGCTGGGGCGCTTTGTGCTGAGGTTGTCCCAAGCTCTTCTGCCGTGTGGACACTGCCTAGTGTCTGCTATGTCAAGGCTGGACAAGGACATCACTGTGCTCAGGCCCCAGGTCAAGGGCACATACAGGATGGAGACAGAGCAGGACCCAGGTGCAGGAACCTGACCACCCACCCTCTCCACCCACGCCCCTACTCCCCCATCCCTCCCACCATCCCCACCCCTCCCATCCTGCCTCCAGCCAGGACTTCACACGCAACCAGCCTCCCTCCCCAGAGCTCCATCCTTTCCAACACAGACAGGACTGCAGTAGCCGCGCAGCTTCACGCGGAGATGAGCACCTCCCCACCCCGGGTGCCCAGTTCTCCATGTGTATAGGAATTCCCTCATGCCTTCACTCTTCTCATCCAGGACCCCTTTGGGGACATGCTGAAAAAGCTCATGGACCAAGTCCACGACCGCCTGGAGATGCCCAACTTGAGCCGGAACTTCGGGACTCAGAAGTATGAGCAGCAGGTGGTGGAGCTGAGCCAGGCCGGTGAGAGGGGTGGCCCTGGCGGAAAGTGCGGTGGCGGGGCAGTCCGGGACCCAGTCGGCCCTGGGCGGAGCCTCCAGGGGCGAAGTCTAGGTAGGCGTGGTCCCTGGGGGCGTGGCCACTCAGACCCTACTCCTGCGCGCCCGCAGCGGCTGAGGCCGGGCTCCAGGAGCGGCGCGTGTATGCGCTTCACCTGCGGCGCTACAATGACGCGCTGCTCATCCACGACACGGTCCGCGCGGTGGACGCCTTGGCCGTGCTGCGGGATTTCTACCACAGGGAGCGCACCACCAAGACCCAGGTCCTGCGTGCCGAGCGGTTGCTGCTGGCGCTGTTCGATGGTGAGGCTCGCTGGGAGGAGGGGGATCGGAATGGGACTAGCTGTCAGAGGCCATCCAGGGCTCGGACGCCAACGTGGGTTGGGAAGGTGCCAACGAGGATACTGGAGCCCTATTTTTATAACCAAAACTCAAAACTGTGGAAATGACAAAAGATGCATACCCTCATTTGTGAAGGTTTGCATATATGTAAAAACTAAGTTATTGACAAAGATTTTTTGAAAATAATTTAATTGGGACTGTCTCTGAAAGTCTAGCGTGTCTGGTAAAACTGGGAAAGTGAGGTGTTTAGAGGGTGAAATTTAAGGCTAGAGGCCTCAGCACAGGTTGGGGGGCAAGGATCTTTCTGAAGAGACCTGGGGTTGAGTCAATCCTGGGTTGCAGAGGTCAGCATGACAAGGTCAAGGGTCATCCTGGTAGCAGGATTGAAGAGGGGTGCTGGAGAAGGTATGTGAGCAAAGAATTCTAGACTTAAGGTCCCCTGGGGTAAGGCTGGCTGGCCTTGAGGCTCGGTGGGCAGAGGGTATCCTTACATGCATTCTAGGTGCTGCTCAGGGGGGAATTAGGCAGGAGCAGGTATTCTCAAGCCCCCTCTGGACTTCTGCAATCCTATTCCTGTGAGCCACCCACCTTAATGTCCTGCCCACCTCTGGGCCTGAGTCCTATGCCTCTGGTTTTGTTTTTTTTCTGGCAGACCACAAGAATAAGCTGGCCCTCCTGGCGACCCAGGGCCCGGAGAACCCAAAACTGGAGATGCTAGAACAGATCCTGCAGAAGCAGTTTGGGAGCCCAGGTAGTCCCCGGGGCATCATCTTCACCTGCACCCGCCAGAGTGCCCACTCCCTCCTGCTCTGGCTCCAGCAGCAGCCTGGCCTGCAGACAGTGGACATCAGGGCCCAGCTGCTGACAGGGGCTGGAAACAGCAGCCAGACCACCCATATGACCCAGGTATGGGCTTTGGGGAGAGGAGCTGAGGCTGGGGGCATTCCCTGGGAAAGAGGAGAAGGGGAGAGGGTCTTCAGCTCAGAGAGATGAGGGGACTGATTATCCCCAGGCAGCAGGCAGAGCTGGGGGAGAGAGGTGAACACTGAGATTCACTTCAGGGCTGAATGTTCAGTCTGAGGGTCTCTGGGGGCAGAGAGGCAGAAACTTGAGGGTCTGCAGGGAAAGAGATGAGTGATGTCCTCAAGACAGAGGATCAGGGGTCTGGAGTTCTTTGGGGGAGACGAGGAGGTCCTGAGAGCTCCTACAGTACAGGGGCAGGGACCCTGAGGAGTTCCTAGGGAAGCAAGGGGTTAGATGGTCACCTGGGAAGACGAGCAAGGTCCTGAGCGTACTTGGAGATAACGGCGGAGACTCAGGGCCCTTGGAAAAGGGGCCAAGATTGTGAGTAAAAGGGCTGAACCTATCTTATGTACTTCCCTTTTCTCCTCCCCCACTCCTAGAAGGAACAGCAAGAAGTGATCCAAAAGTTCCGGGATGGCACCCTGAACCTCCTGGTGGCCACGAGTGTGGCAGAAGAGGGACTGGACATCCCCCAGTGCAATGTGGTGGTGCGCTATGGCCTCCTGACCAACGAGATCTCCATGGTGCAGGTGCCCACGCCATCCCTCTTAACAGCCTTTGAAGGATTCTGTGTGGGTCCCCAGCCCCACTCAGGCCCCTGTCTTATCTCCCTCCCCAGGCAAGGGGCCGTGCCCGGGCTGATCAGAGTGTGTACTCATTCGTGGCAACCCATGGCAGTCGGGAGCTGCGACGGGAGCAGACCAACGAGGCACTGGAGACTCTGATGGAACGGGCAGTGGCTGCTGTGCAGGAAATGGACCAGGCTGAGTACCAGGCCAAGGTCTGTGAGCAACCTGTGTGCCCCATGGGGAGGAGGGCTGTGGATGTTCTGTCTGGGAGACCTAATGCAAACACATACATACCCCTGTTCCACCTGCCTCTGGGGGCCAACTTGGCCCACCTGGGGAAGTTTTGAATCCAGGGACAGGTAGAGGCCAAGGATGGGGGTGCCAGAAAGGCAATGGCTACTTCTCCAAAGTGCCTTGGGAACAGGCCTTGTCCAGGGCTTTTGATTTATCCTTGTCAGCAAATACTTTGTGTATCTGTGAGAGCTGCCTTACAGCCCTTCTGGAACCAAGCAGGTAGAAACAAACAAAGACACATGCACAAAATGAGCCCAGAACCTTAAATCAGTTCCCTGAGTGGACTCACCGTCATACAGCCTCGCAGAGGATGGTCCTTGTTTACTTCTGTTCTCCCAGCATAAGGATTATTGGTGCCCCATGTTAGATTCAAAGAAGCAGCTTTGCGCAAATCCTCCAAAGTGGGGGCAGATTGTAAATGAGTAAGCTTGCCCCATTCCCACAGTTGCCCCCCAACCCCAGTATTATTTGTCTCCACCGAGCTGTTCCTGAAAGCTCCAGGGAGGGTTGAGAAAAGTCTCTTCCGGGTAGTAACAACCTGAGGTCTTTGGAAGCCTTTTGTCCTCTTTGGAGCATTCCCTGGGGTCAGGTCTCTTTGGCTCTCAGCCATGCCTGGTGTCTCCTCCCACCCCAGATCCGAGATCTGCAGCGGGCAGCTGTGGTCAGGCGGGCAGCCCAGGCAGCCCAGCAGGAGAGTCGGCGGCAGCAATTTCTGGCGGAGCATGTGCGTCTCCTCTGCATCAACTGCATGGTGGCCGTGGGCCACGGGAATGACCTGCAGAAGGTGGAGGGCACCCACCACGTCAATGTGAACCCCACCTTCTCGTGAGTCCTGTGGAAGGGGCTGTCCAGACAAAAGGGAGGGCGGGGCGCATTAAGGGTTAGAGAGGTTTTATCACCACCCCATTTTACAGGTGAGGAAATAGAGGCTCAGTGACTTGCCCAAGCTCACACAGCCACTGTGTGAGTTGAGCAAGAACTGGGATTCAGGATGCCAAAAGCCAGGGGGCCACAAACTGCTCCCCTGTTTCTACCTACTGCGAAGACATCAAGAGGGGCTGCTTGTCCCTGAGCCATCTCCTCATCCTCTGCCCCCTAGAGGGTGGTAGCCTTCCCCCATCCTCCATTCATTCGTGATTTAAGTACATATTCAGCAGGCAGCTACTGTGTGCCAGGCCACTGTGCCAAGGGTCTTCACACAGGTTCTCTCATTTGAGGAGGTAGCATTTCAACGAGGTCTTGAAGGATGGGTTGAGTTTGGCTGTGAGAAGATGCAGATAGACAGGGATGATGCGACAGAAGTAACACGGACTGATTTGAGTGGAAGAGGTTGTGAAGGATGAGATTCTGCAGGAAGACAGACTAGCCTGTGGAGGACCGTGAAGGTCAGACCTGGAAGTTTAGCCTTTGTCCTGTAGGCGATGGGGAGTCTTAGATGTATTTTGAGCAAGGGAATGTCAGAGTCAGATTTACATTTTTAGGAGAGCACTCTGGCAGTTGGCAGAAGGGAAGTGTGGGGGTGGGAGCAAGGATGGAATGGGGTGGAAGGATGGAGCAGGGGGATCCACTGGGAGACTGTTGAGGTCATCCAGGTGGGTAGTGCTGAGGTCCAAACTCGGGCAGAAGGGAGTAGAATGGAGGCCGCACAGGCAGAGCATATTGACCTCTCTGTGCCTCTTGACAGGAAGGCCCAAGGCCCAGGCAGAGACTCAGAAAGTAGGATGGCATATGGTCAGGGGTGGGGGTCCATGAGGGTTGTGGCCACTGCATTCCTTTCCAGGATCTACTACAACGTCTCCCAGAAGCCTGTGGTCATAGACAGAGTCTTCAAGGACTGGAGGCCTGGGGGTGTCATTAGCTGCAAGAACTGTGGGGAGGTAAGTGCTGGGGCCATGGCTGTCAGTGCCAATCTTTAGAAGTCCTCATTCTGAGAGAGGAGGCCCAGCCTCTGCTCTCAGGGTGCCTTCATTGGGATGGGGGAGACAGCCCTACCCCAAGACCCCAGTCTGAGGTGGGTGGTCCAACCCCTATGTTAGGGAACCCACAGCGTGATGGGGGGAGATAGCTTTGTTTGAGGTAGGAGACGCAGGCCTTGCGTTCAGGGACCCTAGCTTGAGGAGAGAAGCCCAGTCTGAGGGCAGAGACTCAGCCCCTGCCGCCTCTGTCCCACCCCCAGATCTGGGGCATGCAGATGATCTACAAGTCGGTGAAGCTGCCAGCGCTCAAAGTCCGCAGCATGCTGCTGGAGACACCAGGAGGGCGGGTCCAGGCCAAGAAGTGGTCCTGCGTGCCCTTCCCCGTGCCTGACTTCGACTATGTGCAGCACTGTGCCCAGAGCCTGTCAGACCTCTCCCTGGACTGACCACCTTGTCACTGCAGTGCCTGGCTCAGACTGCAGGGGGCGGGAGAATCCGCAGCAGCCACCATCTTCCCCTGAGCAAAGCCTGGGTGCAGGTGCCTCCTGCCTGAAGTCACCAGCTCAGGGCCCCTTGTTGACCAGCCACAGAGGAACCCCAGGCGCTCTGACTCCCGCACTGAAGAAGCGGCTAAAGGGCCACAGCTAATCTGACCTCCCTCACATCCACACAGATACTTCCATACACACTGGATGCAGTGGGAATGGGGTGGAGGGAGAACTGAGGCGGAAGAATAGCCACGCTGTAGAGTGTTGGCCCCTTATCCACGGTTTCGCTTTCGCAGTCTCAGTTACCCGCAGTCAACTGGAGTCTGAAGGTATTAAATGGAAAATTCCAGGAATAAACAATTTATAAGTTTTAAATTGTGCACCATCCTGAGTAGTGTGACGAAACCTTGCGCCATCCTGCCCCATCCTACTGGGGATGTAAATTGTACCTTTGTTTAGCGTATCCACAGTCTATTATATATGCTACCTGCCTGGTAGTCACTTAGTAGCCATCTAGGATATCAGATCCATGGTTGATCTGATATCTCAGTGCTTATGTTCAAGTAAGCCTTATTGTAGCCTAATGCTACGTCACAGTGCCTACATCACTCACCTCACTTTGTCTCATCACATAGGCATTGGATCATCTCACATCATCACAAGAAGGTGCGTACAGTACAATAAGATATTTTGAAAGAGACCACATTTACATAACATATTACAGTATATTGTTCTTTTTTTTTTTTTTTTTTTTTTTTAGCTGAGCCATCCCGCCACCTGTTGGCAGCTCACGGCTGCTCAGCTCAGGCTGACTCGAACTGCTGTTGCTCAGAGCTCAAACTCTTGAGCAAGCTCTTAACCAACTGAGCCACTCAGCCGGCCCTACAGTATATTGTTCTAATCTAATGTATTATTGTTAATCTCTTACTGTGCCTAATTTATAAATTAAACTTGATCATAGGTATGTATGTATGTATAGGAAAGAACATAGTATTTGTAGGGTTGCTACTATCTGTGGGTTCAGGCATCCACTGGGGGTCTTGGAACGTATTCCCCATGGATAAGAGGATACTGCTATACTAGAATCACCAGTTTTCCTTGGCCCCTTGGCATTCCTTCCCTGCCAAAGCTACTTCTATTTTTTGAGGCTCTCCATAAATTAAAAAGAAATGGAAAATTGCTGTAGAAAATGTACAGTATTTTAAAAACAGATTTGTTGAGGCATAACTGACAAAATAAACTGTACATATTTATAGTGTATAGTTTGAGAAATTTTAACATATATAAGCTCCTCCACACTCAAGATCATGAACACAGCCATCACCCTCAAAACTTTCCTTGTTCCCATTATATTCCCTCTTCCCCTCCCCATCCACCGATCTGCTTTGTGGTATATTTTTTCATGTTAAAAGTGTTTTGTGTTTTTTTCTAACACCCCTCTTTATGGCTATCCTGTAAACTTATTTGGAGAGAGCATCAAAAGTCTAAATTTGAGAGCCATCAAAAATATGAGGCCTTCCTGCCCCTTCCACCCCATAAGAGGCTCCAAGCCCTCTCTCCATCTTTCCCTAACCCCCAGGTTATCTCCCCTGGGCAAGAGAGAGGCCAAGAGGATTTGAGGTGTAGACATGGGGGTGGGGGAAGTTGTAAAGGCCTAAATTTTCTGTTCTCATTTTAACAAGAAAGAAAGAAAGAAAAAGAAAGGCAAGATCTGGGTTGATTCTTCAGGGAAAGGGCTATTTCTGTAGTAAGAGGCCCAGCAGGCAGGAGTCACCTTCAAGAGGAAGGGAGGGGGCTAGGGCAGATTTGAGAGCAGGACGGCAGTCCTTCCTGCCATCTAACCTCCTTCTCTCCTGCTACATCCTTGGTCCTGCCTCAGGGCATATGGGAAATGATGCATTCTCTCTTCCCCAGGATAGTCTTTCTTCAGTCCACCTCTTGTCTGATTGAGAGCTGAAATTCCAGTTCTGGGCTTTTTGGCCTTCACCCCCACCCCCCAGAGAGAATGTACCTTTCTTTCCCAGGGCCCCTCTTCCTCCTAATCTCCGGTATCCAATGGCCCTGGCTCCAGGAGTCACCCTTCTCCCTCCTGTCCCATCTTGGCCTCCCTGGGGTCCCTTCTGCCCATCCGCTCCCACTTAGCCTTTAGTTGTTACTGCCCCTGCCAGCAACGTGCCTTTTACAGGTCAATAAAATTAGCGACTGGGGGCGGGGGGGGGGGTAGAGGCCCAGGGGTGCTAAGCTCAATGGCCTTGAATGTGGCTGGACACACGGAGTCCTGACACCTGTCATTCCAGGGCTAAACAGTGACAGCTGAGGGACCTGAGCTGCAATTGAGGGCAGGGGGGGCTGTGTTGCAGGGAGAGAGATGGACTGAGAATAAAGATGACCTGGGCATCTAGGGGTTCCCTCAGTGGCCTGAGCTCCTGAATGGGAGACCCTGACTTTAGAGGGAATGTCCCATTTCACAACCACCTTACCAGGCTGGGAGAGCTTTCTTGAGCTCAGATGGAAAAGGGAACTCGGCAAGAAGGGGGTCCTCGGCTTTCTTCTTTGTGTGAGGGGTCTTTATTTGGAGCCACTGCTTCCAGGGCACCTGGGCAAGGCTGCCTGAAGAAGGGGATTTCATGGGCTCCTCAGGACCCAGGAATCCTAACTCCCCAGTTCTCAGAAAAGCCAGAGCGCCAGACCTCTCTAGTGGCCCGGATGCTCCTCCCTTCTCCCCCACCTGAATAAACCGGTCCACCTACCCGGGCGAGACTCGGACTGGCTGGGCCACGGTACCCCCTCCCAG